CAAAGCGAAACCTTACTCAAATTAGCATTTAAAATTGAAAACTATACAATATTATTAAGTTTAATAATTTTTGGACCAGAACATTTGTGTGTATGCTATTTTTATATCCATTAGACTTAATAAATTCAGATCTTTTGCTTTCTATAAAATCTAAATTTTAATATTTAATTGGGGGGTTTTTTTTTAATTTTTCTATGTTTGATATAAGATATGTGAGTTCCAAATAATTAACAATTTATTAAAGTATGTGATTTTGAATTTATTCATTTTGGCGGGATGCGGCACTTTTTAAAATGACAAATGTTATTGGTTTCCTTTATATGATTATCAGTATAACATAGGTCTATACAAACAAATAATATGAAAAAAAATTAAATCTTTATTGTTGGTTAAAATTAAAACTCACATGTTTGTTTGATGCGTTATTATGTTGTGAAAGATGTCGCTTAATGCCGATACCTTTTTTTAAATAATGCTTAAAAAACATTTTCTTAACACGTTTATTAATTATTATTTATAAAATCAAATAAGAATAGTAAAAGTGGAAGTAAAATATGAAAAACAAAAACGGAGAAAAAATATTAAGAAAAAGAAAATGATGAATCAAAACCAAGCCATTTCAGAACGCAATTCCAAGAATTCCATTTAAATGAACATGTATTTGTGTGGGTAGCGCTAGATATATGTATATAAATAATAAATACTTATATATTGTTAATTTCATTTAGTAATGTACTACATATTATATGAGTATACATATTTATAAGTTGTATTATAAAATAACTATATTTTATATTTAGCCAGTTGTATTTTTTCAAAAAAAAAAAAAAAAAAAATAAACGTAACACTGATGAGAACGTTAAAAGAAATGGCGCGACGGATTGAAAAAGTAGTATTTTTTTTTTTTGTCTTTTCTTTAGTTTTTTTCCAACAAAATGTGAAAATTTTCTGCATCACATTTATGTTGTATATTCTCAATTTATTAGCCGCAAGGTCCGTAAGAGTTAGTTCTTTCTCACAGTTAATTATTTTATATTTCTAGTGTTAAAGTATTGAAATTTGTTTTATAATTCAAAATTTATTAAATTCTCATAACAGACTTCAAATGAAATTAACATTTTTTGCAATTACCTACCAATCCATATCACAAATTCAAAATTATTTCCCTATTAAAATATGTCTAAATACATGTAATTTCTTTTTTACTCTTTTTGTCTCCTCTTCGAATGTCATTACTCGGAATTCAGATTATTTAAGAGAAAATATAAAAAATATTTGTTTGCGTTGAAAAAAATGAGAGAGTTTTTCCAAAAACCAACAAAAAAAAAATAAAACGATAATTTTTGTTTTATCAGTAGGAAACCTTTTATAAATTTTAGATGTGTGTTGGTATAATTATTTAATTTATTTTTCTGTTGTATTTGTAACCTTGTGATGTTCTTTCATTATCTCTGGCTTTTTTTTTAGCGTTTTATGAAAGAGTATCCGTTAAAAAATATAAACAGCGTAATGTTATCATTTTGAAGTAAAAGAAAGAAATAGAGAAGTAGTAAAATTTTTTAGTAGTAATTTTTTTTGTTTTGTAAGAACTTTTTTTTCATTTAATTCTTTTATTCTATTTTATGTAGAATATTTTCAAAACTTAATTTCTAAATATATTTATTAAGTTTAACAAAAGTTTAAAATTTAAAAACAAAAAAAGGAACGGAAGTACTTCCATACGAAGAAGCGGATGTTACATTTTTTTAATATGCCCGTACATATCTTCATATATATGTAATACTTAGAGTTATATAAAAACGTTTCTTGAGTTTTAAGAAAGCTATCCTTGCTGTTAGATCATATGTGTTTGATAATTCGTTGTGCGATAGAAAAATTAATTTTACACCATGTTTGCATTTCACTGTGAGAAAAATTCATAAACATCACTGTGCGTCAGATATTAAAAAAAATATAAGTTTGGACATTGATTTCATTTTGATATACATATGTGGTAAATATTATAGCCTTTACTTTGGAGATAAAACTCTAATATTAAAGAATTTGCTCTCAATGTCCAAATTTGAAAAAAGGTTAAAAGAATTGTGCATGAATTGAAATCTTAATCATCCATATATATTTAATGCATACATTTTTTAAAATGTGTGGATATCCGATTCGTATACGTATACAATTTATATGCACACTTTCGTATTAAATACAACCTTGCACATACATATATATATACACGCACACCTTATAATAACAATTATTTAAAGGGAATGTATTGGAATGGAATTCCTATACAAAAAAAAAAAAATAATTTCTCATACGAGAAAATGTTGAAAGACAGGGAAGTTTTTTTTTTTAACTTCGATCATTGCCCTTGTTACTACCACTAATTCATTTAGTAGAATAAAAAATATAATTGAGAATATACAATGAAATATATACTATGTATGTATATAAATATATAAAAATGTATAATACCAGTATATATCTATAAAAGCAAGTTGAAGTATAACATCAATACTATTTCAAGTTATGTGGTATAGAAAAGGCAAAAGACTTCTGTAATATATAGATTTTTTTTTTTTGTTTAATCATATTATTAGAAAAATGTTCAAATAGATATTTATGTACGGATTTTGAATGTGTGCGTTAAATTAATTCGTACATATAAAATCGCGACGTAAAAAAAAATTAAGTTCTGGACGCAGAGAGAGCAGAAGTGTAAGGGGTTATTTACATGCTGTTGTTTGCTTAATAAGAAGTTGGTTATAAAGTAACAAAAATTTTAATGAATTATAGAAAGCTACAAAGAAAAAAATTTAAAATTTTAAGTATTGAATATTTATTTTTTATAATAAATATTACAAGTAACAAATAAAAATTTAGTTTTTCCTTTTAAAATTAAAACATTGGCATAACAAAAGTGGAAACTGAGAAATCTAAATAGAAAACCGGGCCATGCGGAAGATCACTTGCATATGTATTTAATTGGTAAAATTATCAAAAATGTTTTAGAAGAACATTTTCAAAAATCCTTTATTTATCTTTAATAAGAAATTAAAATAAGAGATATGTACATACATATGTAATTCGGGAATATTTGAATAAATTCTTATTTCAAATTACGAACGGAAATTGGAACATAGTGGATTTCTAAATTTCATAAATATTTTATTTGATTATATTTTAAAATTCAATGGAGTTGGTGAATTAAAATACAGAATGTAAAGATAATCTTCATTCGTTACATTATTAATTTATTAATTTTTAATATTGTAAATAATATAGGCTTAAAAACATGTTCAGGATTACAATATTACACAAACATGCATACTAGCATATTACTAGTAGTAAACACGTTTAGGTCATAAGTCATAACATAATTCTGACAAATTAGTGGACAAATTAGTTACTTATTGTTTGTTTTTCATTCTTTTATGACATTTTTATAATCTTTTCTTTTCTTATTGTGTCAGTCGTAAAACCGTACGATAGCTTAAAATTCGCGGTAAACATTTTTTTCTTTTCTTTTTTGGTTTTAATCAAAACAAATCAATAAAACGACAAACATAGTTACCACGGTTGCCAGAAGTGGTGATTTAACGATTTTTGTTATTAGTTTTTGTAATTAAATAATTTTTTTCATTTTACTAAATGAGAAAAAAATTATCTAATTGTAGATGTAATGGTTTAGATATTTTTTTCTCTTGTGTAAAAATTATTTTAAAATTTCCATCACTGCATTATGTGAGACCTTCTTCTAGTTAAAACTTTCTAAGTTACATTTAGATATGTAGCTCATTTAGCATTTTTAAGGAGACCTTTTCGATTTTTCAAATTCTTATGTTTTTGGTTCCTATAGAAGTTTAGACATTGTTCTTATCATTTTTATATTGTAAAATATTTTCTCAATTCTCTTTATTCTATAAAAATTAATATTTTGTAAAATACTCAAATTTAGAATTTTTTATTTTGATTAATAATGTCGAATATTCAGATATAACACATTGTTTCACTAATAAATAATCTTTAACTATTTTTGGATAAATTTATATATTTTTCTTTAAAATGTAAGGGACCTACTCATTTACAAATTTTGTTTATTATTTCTTTACTTTTAATACTGTTTTAATTTCAATTACATTGACCTGTCTGCTTTTTCACCTACAAAATATTTGTATTTTGTTTTTCAATTTATTTTATATCAAAATGAAGAATGAATTTGCAAGTGATACATAAAAAGCAAAGCTTATTTAGTTAATTAGCCTTTTTTTAAATGAGAGGTGCAAAGTAAAATGAAAAATAAAGACACATTTTTATGTAAACATAACCATTGCATTATTAATTAAAAATCATAGTGAAATGAACAAAGAGTAGAAATGTGAATTCAATTGAGAGAAATAGTTTAAAGAGAGAGGGTAAAAATTTAAAATTGTAATTATGTATAATAAAGAGAAAAAAGAATGTTAAAACACTATGCCCTAATTGTAAGAGAGTTTTTTTTATAACTTTGAGGTTATAAGAGAAGTTTATACCTTAAGGGAGATGTGATATAAAAATACATAATTTTTATATATGTACATATTGTATAGAATATTACCGTTATTTCAGTCAAAAATTTTTTCATAAAATTACATTGATTGTTGATTTATTTGTATTTAATATTCTTTTAGCAATTTCCCATCTAGCCATTTTATAATTTAATAATTTTATAATTTAAATAAATTAGGCAATAGAAAAACAAAAATGTTGATCCAATCTTTATTTATCTAGTTAGTATTTTGATAAATTGAAAAATTTTCCGACAACATTTAGGTTTAACTACTTATTTATGATACATGCATGTAAAGATACTTCGCAATTATACCGCAATAACAAAAACTTTCAATAATAACAAAATTTTAATGCCTTAATTTTGCATACATATATAGTTTTATATTATTTCGAAAATATATTTATCAATGGTAATTAACAAAAGTTTTTTTTTTTTTAATATTATTTATTTATAGACAACAATTCGGAAGCATAATATGTGAAATATTGAAAAAGCAACCGTTAGAGGATATTCTGACTCAAATTCATGAAATCATTGCGGCAATATTAATGGTTTCAGAAGATAAGGGTGAGTACTATTCAAATATATAAATAATTATTTTTTTTAAATATTTTACTGTAAAATGATACTCTACCAAATTCGAAAAAATTGAAAATATTATAAATATTTGCGAGCCAAGTTATTTAGATAACTACTACAAATATTTTTCTTTTTCTGAGCGTATATTTAAAGGTGTTTGTCAAATCTAATTTTCTTAATTAAAAAAAATTTATTTTCTTAATTCTTTAATTTATTTATGGGGCGATTTATTTCAAATCTAGTTCCCCATATGCAACATATCTTAAGTATATATTAAGATATGTTGCATATGGGGGGGGGAAGATATCTTATACAATATTGAACATTTTATTGATTTGAGTTTCAGAGTAACATTTTAGATTTCATAGAAAAGTTAAAAATGAAGATATTCAAGTCTCAAAAATTTGTTGATCCACAATTTGTTTCTTAAAAACAAAAGAATATTTGACTGAACCAAAATGAAATATTTTTAAATTTAAATCTAAACAAGAGTTAATTTTATAAAAGAAAGGCAATTTAAAGAACAATAAATAATTGTTAGAATCGCCCTATCAGCATTTTGTGGAAAAACAATATAATAATACCAAAGTTTAGGACATTTTGGATTTTAAATTGCCACGCATTTTAAATATTTTTTTAATTAATAATAAGTTTATAGCAATATTCAACTTGGAATAATTGTATTCATATCTTGTAGTTAAGTACATATACTATCTTGACCCCAAAAATAGCGACAAATTTTAAACTTCGTTCCTGTATGAGATTGAATTTGGATACAATTTTTTTTTTAAATAAAATTACTTATTTTTATGAAATAAATAATTTGCATTCTATTTTAAATTAAATTTTCTTAAATATTAATATAGGAAAAAAATTTGAATGAAAATTTTGCATAACAATACACAGTACGTATATGCATATATAAAAAAAAATTTTTTTAAATTCGCTTTCTTTCAAATGAAAGAGAAAATTCATTAGAAAAATTGAAAATTGTTATAAATAATTTCCATTGAGAATAAAAATAAATTTGCAAAAATTTGCGTAAATATGCGACAAATCTACTTACCAACATACATATTTAAATAGTACATACATAAATTCGAGAAATTCAATTTTATAAATAGAAAAATAAAATTAGTCATTTTACATTTAAGAGAAAAAGAAGAAAATTGTATAGAAAATTATAAATTTGAAAAATATAGACATATATAATATGTACGTAAAATTGTAACATCCAAATCATATGGTAACATGAGTATAATATTATGTATTATTTGCGTATATATGTATAAATTGTATATAATATATCTGACATCTAAGTTCTAGTTTTCCTTAAAATTGCAATTGTAATAAATTTCTAATGAAATTTAAATTATACGTTTTGTATGCCCGAATTTAAGTTTATGGACACCTTAAATATGTACATAAGTACCCACATTGTGAAGGTACATAAATTTAAAAAATATAAAAAATTCGAATTGAATTTTAAATGATTGTGTATACCTAATATTCATGCAAATATACATATACGTAATATAGAATATTGTTACACAGTTCATATTGTAAAAATACACTTATATAAGCACATATTTGTATAAGTACATTCGTATATTTGATCTACATGTATGCACATATGTGTGTACTGTATTTGCAATTATTTTTAGAAATTTTCTTTATTTTTTTGACCGATGCCAATTTAAAAGAAATTTTTATACACACATTATTTTTTTTCTTCATTTCTTATTATTTTGTCTGACTGTAGACATCCAGACGGACACAAAATAAAATTAGTAATAAAAAATAAAAGAAAATATTAGAAGAATAAAAAATCCCAATAAAAATTGAAAATTTTTCATATAACATTTGTATATATGTACGTACATACCATCTTCATACATACACAAATTGTGTGTATCTGCTCATATTAAAACACAAAATAATATTCACAAGTAAATTTTGCTTGAGGGACACAAAAATTAATAATAGGTGTGTAAGAAATTAGAAAATTATACTTACAAATAAAATAGCAAAAATAATTTTTAAATTAAGAAAAAAAAGTAAAAATTTTAAATAAATTTTTTTTCATATATGTATTTTGTTTTTATGTAAGTGCCCGAGAGTATTTTTAGAATAAAAACTTCCGGTCATAAAGAGACAAAAATCATTCCAAAGCAAATTTAGAATTAATTCATTTGAAATCCCTGGCCGCTTTCACGGGTAAAACTTATCCTTAACAAAAATTTTCCTTAGGTCTTAAGTAAATTTAAAAAAAAAATGCTCGTACAATATTTTGATATTTAAATAACCATTATCAAAAATCCATTAATGTAAAATCCATTAGTTTCGCAGGCTTAAATTTTTAATAAGTTCGTACGTTTTCACTTATTGACAGAGAGTATAGTTATAATAGTATACGATCAATTTCCCCCAATTTTATTGTATTTTGCAAATGTAATTTTTTTTTTAATAAAATCGAAGATATTTTGCAAAGATAATTGTTTTGCCAAATTTAGCTTGTACGTAAAATCCTGAGTCGTACTAAGCAATTCATTCCAGAATCAAATTTAAAAATAATTTTATTGTTTTGTAAGAACTGAAAAATTCTCTAATTGGAAATATCGAAAATTGTAATTTTACTTCAAACAGGCAGTGCTGAAAATAAATTTCGCTAATTTCCAGTATTTCTTTAATTTTTTAATTTTACTTTTTTTTATTTCTTATTTTATTTTATTTATTAATTTTATTTGCTAAATTTTTATGCGAATAAAATTTTCTATCTTTTATGTGAGACCCTTGTCATAGTTTTGTCGTTCTTTTTTTTTTTTATATATTTTTTTCATTTCTAATAAGAATGGCGCCAATAGTTGATATAGGTACATGATAATGTGCGGGTATAGATATGAATACAATGTGAAAATTTATTTATATATGCATCCTTCTCTGGTGTACATGTTGGCCAAAAAACCAGTGATACAAAAAATAAATTAAATTTTATTTTATTTTTTTTTTTATTGAAAGATAAATAACATTTAATGTGTACATAGATGTATGTATAAATACGTATGCAAAAATATGTGTGTATAATAACTAGAATAAATAGAATTGCATGTTCATTACAAGTACAAGTTAGGGTGCGCTTTATATCCACTCTGTTCCATTTTTATCACAGAGTGAAACTACAATTGATATCCTTAAATACATAAAGTTTTTCAATAATTTTGTTTTATCGGTGAAAAATTTGATAAAATTGTAATTTGTAAGACCAGGAAAGCGAGGACTTTTGTAAAATGTCTAATTTTAGAAATGAAGAATGTGAAAAATTTCGACGGGCATATAAACAGATCCGACTGCATTAATTTCTTGAAAACAAATTACATGTATAAATTACATTCTTCTCACTTGAAAATTGTGTGATTATTCACTCACTTTTCGTTTTTAAAAAAGAATAGATGTATGCCAATTAATTAGAGCTTAAAAATGAATATAAATCAATTTTTAAGCTCTAATTAATTTTTAAAAATTTAAATAAATCAATAACATAAAACAATATAATTCGAAAAGTGTTTACTATTTTTAGGTATTAAATGTAGTGGAATTTTCAACTCCCTTTTTTTTCTTTTGGTAAATTAATTTTTTTAGTTTTTCTTCCAAAAATATTTTGTGACGGTTTTTTTTCTGTTTCTGTTTTTTTTTTTGGGTTTTTTGTAAAAAAATTAAATATAAAACTCCTATATTCCTATATGTGTATGTATATATAGGTATGTAAAATGTCTTATATAAATATATAAGATATATATATTAAAAATTTCAGCTATATACAAACATATATAGTTTTAGTACACATACATTGTGTTGTACATACAAGAGTCAAGAAAAATGCGCCAGTCGGTGACTGACCGGCCGGTATATTGTTAGATATTTTATCATTTCTATTTTTATATTTTTTTCTTTTTTAATTTTTCATTCTTTTTTTAGATTTTCTTTTTTGTTTTATATGTGTTTTTTGCTCTTTTTTTTTTTATTATTTTTAATGCGTATACAGACATCATTTTGGTAGCGATTATTTAAGAGTCTGATGCTCATCATTAAATAATAATAATAATGATAATAATAAAAATGAAGAAAAAAATGTATATGTATATAAAACGTAGACATAATTAACTAAATTTATCAAGGATAAAATTATAAATTTAAGATGAATTTTCATTAAATTTTTATGATAAATAATTAAATTCAATGAAATTCTAAAAATAAAAATTTAATTTTGAATTGAAAAATTTCAAGAAAATTGTTGGAAATAAATTGAAAATATTTGTATTTTTTTTTTTCTAAAAATATAATTTTTGTTTTTTTGTATTTAAACGCAATTTTTTTTTTTGTATAAATATTTATATTTTATTCTTACTAGAATTTTCAGTAAAATTCTAATAATTTCTATTCCAATGCAGTATTTTTTCTTTAATTTAAGTAAAAATATAAATTTTAAAATAAAATTAAGGTAACATGGAGAATGAAGTCTCTTGCTTAGTCTTAAATTGAGTTTAAGCGACACTCTTTCACAATTTTTGATTTCTAATTACTGACTATACAAAAAGAACAATTTATAATAAATTTGCATACTTTTTGCGGCATAATATAAAAATAATATTTCTGCATGTTTCGTCAACATTTAAAAGCAGTGTTTGTTTGTATACCTATTTTCCAATTAATTATTTTCTCTTATTTTTTTCGTTTTATTGTTTCATAAATTAGAAAAATATTTAAATTAGTAAAATTCATTAAAAAAAAAATTGCATATCTTTAGGTGTAATTCGATTAATAATTTTAATAATAAGAAACAATAAATAATAGGGGGTTCCTATTATATACATTTATTTTTGAGTAAAGGATAATATTTTTAAGTCCAATTTAACAGTAGTAATTACTGAACTTTATTCAAATAATGCGTTCAGAATTTGGGTTCGTTGCATTAAATTGCAGTGGTAGGA